GCATAGGAGTCGATGGAGTTTCATCAGTCGTTTTACGTAAAGTCGCGTAAAACTCGAAACTCGCGGTGATATGCAGCAGTCGTGAAATATATTTTTCACTAGTGATTTCCATATCACTAGGGTGGTGAAACTCCAATATATGTAATGAACATAGTACTACTAATAGAACTAACACTACCTTTCAGCTGGCCGCCCTTTACCACCCAGATATACCCAGACTTAGTCGGACATGGCACTACCTAAAAATAAAAAATGGGAAAAAAATAAATTTTCCATAATTTTCAATCTGCAATTGCATATACATGATTGCGAAGCGAAGTCACGCGAAGTATGAAAATGAACATTCAAATAGAATTGCAACTATTTTAAAATTCGATGATGAAAATTCTATGAAAATTTATTTTCTAAGAATGCGAAAAAAAAATTCTTCAAATCGGTACTACCTTCGATCTGTTTCACACCGACATATTTATTTTTCCGCTCCCTGAATGCTTCCACCGCTACAATTTTTAGTGACAGTTCTGGTTTTTCTTCAAATGTTTGATAGAATCTCATAAATATTTAAAAAATTAATGGAATTTCACAACCCGTTTTACGTAAAAATCGGTGAAAAACGCGATTTTCACGATAGTCGTGAAATATGTTTTTCATATCACTAGGGTCAAGAAACTCCATTAATAACTCTTTATTATTTCTACGAATATCACTACGATTTTTAGTGACAGATCTGGAATTTCGTTTTGTTCTATTGAGTACTGCAAACTGTCCCCTATACCTGGCATCCTGCGATGTTCCATGACAACGACGCTGATGGGAGGTCCAATGGTCGAGATAGATTCACTGAGAGGGGAAAGGGGTGCGAGAGAATACGTCTCTAATTTTATGCAACTTTCACGACCACAATTAATTATAATCATGGGTGAGGATCGATAAATTACATCAAATCGGAATAATTCACACTGAATATAATCGTCGTCTCAAGAGACCATATTTTATACAACTTTCACGACCACAATTATCGGAGTTTCACCCTAGTGATACGAAAAACACTAGTGAAAAACATATTTCACATCTAATGCATAGCGCGAATATCGCGTTTTTCACAGAGTATTACGCCACTCCACGTAAAACGGGTGAAACTCCAATAATCTGAATTAGACCATTATATTAGATATAAATATAATCGTCCTCTCAAAAGACCATTTATATTTTATGCAACTTTCACGACCACAATTATTATTCTGATTACTATATAAATATAATCGTCCTCTCAAAAGACCATTTATATTTTATGCAACTTTCACGACCACAATTATTATTCTGAATATCATCATAACACGATATTAATTCCCACTACTGCTACTACCTTTTCTAAAGCTGTATACCACACTTTCCTCCAATACTATATATCGCCTCCTGAACACTCTCGTTAATCTACTCCTTTTCTGAAGCCAATTCTGATATGTCGATGGATGCCGATCCTCTTTCACGGCCGACATTTTAAGTGAATCTCTATTGCAAGAATGGAGTTTCACCACCCGTTTTACGCGAAATTCACTGCTCACATGCGTTTTTCGCGAAGTGAAATATGAAATGGTGTTTTTCACTAGTGTTTTTCGCATCACTAGGGTGAAACTCCGATATATGAGAGAGTTGAAGTGGATAAATTTTCTCATACCGTAATTTTCCGAAAGGCTGTTGAAAACAACCATCACTACTCATACATAAAATCATACCATAATTTCAATTATCAATATCGAAGTTTCACCCTAGTGATATGATAAACACTAGTGAAAAACATATCTCAGATTTCACTTCGCCGAAAACTTTACATGGAGTATTGCATCACTTCACGTTGACAGATCGATAAGTATTACTATTTTTGAGAATATTCTTAATAACATTTTCAGATAGAATTCCAAAACCAAATTACAGACCACCGATTCACCCAGCATAATATTCGCCACCATTAATTCTCCATACCATAATTTCCTCAACTCCTGAGAACATGCCGGCCTCCCTCCTCCATAATAACAACTACAACCAAACCCACGTTAACTGCAATACAGTGTAAACAGTATTTGATACGCTCGTATAGATCAGCTCAGAAACCACAACAGATAATCAGTCGAGTTTGTGCCTCCTCTGCACCTTCCCCGTATCGCTCACACGGGTCTCAGGAAGTGCTGCCGGCTGATATCGCGGTGATCGCAACAACGCAACGAGGAGAATGCTAAAACCTGAAAATATATCAGCATTAGCAGAGTAATAAGAATTGTATTTTCAATCGATACCACTCCTCGACCGAATCAGTGGCTATATCATAACAGTACTAGGGGAAATATGCACATGGTCAACTACGACAATATGAAAATTCTGAGGAAATTTTGACAAATTTTCATTGATTTCCCAAAATTCATATGTGAACTCCTATAATAAATGAGAAAACTCGTAAGCCCAGCCGAAAAAATTTCTCAACTGGGTTTGCGAATTTTCAGAAAATTTTTTCCGGGTTTCTTTTTTTTCAGGAAGAAAAAGCGAACATGAAATTCAAGTGACGAATTTCAAGTGAAACAGCGCCCGAATTTCAACACAAAACGATTACTTCCACATAACACTCTGCAACACCGCGTTTTTCATATCACTACGGTGAAACTACAGTGGAGTTTCACCACCCGTTTTACGTAAAGTGGCGTCGTAAAACTCGGTGAAAAACGCGATATTCGCGGCCTGTAGTAGTCGTAAAATATGTTTTTCATATCCGTAGGGTGATGAAACTACAATATATAAAAACAACTTCCCTCCACATCGTGAGTTTCCGCCCAAGTCAGCGACACCCTTACCCAGAAGGGATATCACACCAGACACGACGGCCACCACATTTGCCTCGTGGTTGCTGTGGTCCACAGAATCTATAATCTTCTCGCACGATTTAGTCCGGAATAAATTACCCGGCTGAAAAACGTTTCGTTATCAGGAGGCAGACACCAATTCCTTTTACCTTCGCCGTTTGATCAACTCCGCGCTTCCAATCGAAGATCTCAGCACCGATTCGACCGGCCAGATGGAACTGTCGCACCCTACAAGTAAAATCCCGTGACCGCGCGCCTCGAAATTATTCATATTTCTCTTCTGCTCACTTACGTTTGCAATACGTCCTGTCGCTTCTCCGCCAACCGAAACGCTTCGAATATGCAGACCGAACGAGAGCAGTCATTTCTAAAATAATGTCACCAAGATTCGAACCAGGGACCTCCGGATAGACAGACCACTCCACTAACCTATTACACTGTTCGGTTGGCGAACGGATCGAATACTGTACAAGATAAATTATTGCCCTTCACTGTTCCGTTCACGTCCTTCATCGCCTGAAACCAGCAATTCCATACAAAATGCTCATCACACTTTTCGCGTTCTCCTCCCACACTATGTGGGGCTTTCAACTACATGTGTTGGTGACAATATGAAAATTCTGCGAGGAAATTCCCATTGGTTTCTGTATACTTCTACCGAAATAGTAACCCTTGTAAGGAAACTCCCAAACTCAGCCGATGAAGCCGAGCATATATTCCTCCAACTCGAAGCCCCACACCGCTAAGTTCAAATGCCACCCACACGGAAAACCCCGAGAGGAAACACCAACATCAACATACGTGAAATCTCCTCAAAGTGCGATGAGATCACCGACGATAAGAAAAACTCACCTCCAATGCTTTACTTTTCAAAGGCTCTATTTCGTAATGGATCAAATAATGGTAGTGAAATCTGCATAATACGATACTCCCACAGAGGCAGTGACCACACCCTTACCTGCTTGCAGCGACGTCCATCGCCACAACAGACACCAACAATACTAATAGATACCATAACAGACTAACCCAACCAAAAGGCCTGAAATATATTGAAGTTTAACAACCCTAGTGATATGAAAAATATATTTCACGACTACTGCATATCACCGCGAATATCGCCTTTTTCACAGAGTTTTACGACGGGTGAAAATCCAATAAACATCACAACACGAGAGATGCAATTTTCCAATACCATTTCTTGTCGAATTGGTGCCTCATAATTCCGTTTTAGAGGAATATATCTTCGCTTCCCTCAGCTGAGCTCACAAATTTCCTCGCTAATTATAAGAGCATATATGAAAGTGTACAGAAACCACCAACTGGAATTTCCTCACAAATTTCATATTGTCACCAACACACGTAGTTGACCATGTGAACATATTTTCCCACACTGAGAGTGTACAGAAATCAACAACACTTTCCCAAAATTTCCTCAGAATTTTCATATTGTCACCAACACATGTAGTTGACCATGTGAACGTATTTTCCAAAACTGCATTGGAGTTAATACAATTTTTCCAAGAACAGAAAACCTTAATTTTTCCATATTTTCCCCCCCCACTTTCCTTACCTAGCTTCAACCTGCACTCCTCTACTTTTCACGCCACCCATCGGTACTGCTCTCGTTGCCGACTCTGCCACATGCTTCTCATAGGCACTCAAAGTGACGCCCTCTTGTGGAGAGCGAGGACACTTACGTCGGACCGGTACCGCAGCCATAATGCGAAAAAAACAATGACGACTGAAAACCTGAGTGGGAATACATGCACTTAACATGTGTTCGTGAAAAAAAGAAAAATTTTTGAGAAAATTTCGGAAATTTTCGACATGTGAATTTTCATAATATACCAAAAATATATTCCCACACTGCTGAAAACTGTCACCAAATTTTTCACTCAAAAACCATCCACGTCAGAAACTTTCCCTTTGCACGCATGCACACGATCAATCCCGTCTCCTATCTCTCGTCCATCTACTTCCCCACCTCCCTACGTAATCCTTTATATACTCTCCTAAAAAAATGCTTTAAAAACGACAGGTGCAGGGATCGAACCCGCGACCTACCATGCTCACTATATCCAACACTAGACTCCAACAGCGTAAAATACTTTTTCCAATAATATTGTAAATTATCAAAACCAACAGCAAACGGTATCGACACCATTAATATGATAACCCACAACTTGTTCCCCTGAAAAATACCAAAATCTTGCTAATCTTGCTCTCCCTTACATTTCCTCAACGCTACCGTTGGAATCGCCAACTGTCTCATTCTGTCAGCCATTTTCACTTCATCATACATTTCAGGAGTAGTCCTCATCAAAAGCTGTACCACAGGTTGGTGAAGGTAGATCGGCACGAACATTAGATATACGGGATTTCCCCGTCGTTTATCATCTTTTATATGCTTCCGACCAACTTCACGAGGCTGATAACAAAAAAACCACCACTTTTTCAGTGTTGGAGTAGGAATATATGTAATCGCTTTCCTCAGCTGTTGAGCTCAGGAGTTTCCTATACAGTGTTGGAGTAGGAATATATGTAATCGCTTCCCTCAGCTGCTGAGCTCAGGGGGTTTCCTATACAGTGTTGGAGTAGGAATATATCTTCGCTTTCCTCAGCAGTTGAGCTCAGGAGTTTACTCACGAATTAGGATAGGAGTAGACAAGAATTTCCCAGAGTTTTCCTGTTTTCACCAACGCATGTAGTTGACCACGTGCATATTTTCCTCCCACACCGTTCCGTACAATGTTCAGTAGAGCAACTCAGAAACGGCAAGGTTTTCCCCCCAGTGTTGGAGGAATATATTTTCGTTCTCCTCAAGCGATCTCAAAAGTTCCCTCACTTTTTATAGAAGTTTACACATCATTTCGGGTAGAGGTGTAGAAAAATCAAAAAT